CCATTTCTAAAGCCCCATCCTTGGAGATGGTTTTCACACCCTCCCTTCTGCCGAGGCTCTCCATCTGCCGTAAGGACATCAAATGCCACTGTAAGAGCACTCACCACCACACATCTCGCTCCAGAGCATCTCTGCTGCATTTAGAGCCTGTCTGGGTCAGCAACTCCCACCTGGCCAAAGACTGTAAAGCGGCGAGCAGGTCAGTGCCCGGGTGCCAGCAACACGACGAAACCCCATTTCCAGCCTGCCTTGGTCCTGCTGGCCTCAGCGTGCCCATTTGACCACCCAGCTCCCTGCAAGGCTGCCCAAAACCAGGGCAGGAGCCGAGGTAGGACTCCCCGGCCGCAGGTCAGGCTGGGCAGCGTGGCCGGGTCCGTATTCCTGGTGTGTCCGTGTGTCGCCGCTGTCTGTTCCCGGCACAGGAGCAGGTTGCTCGGCAGCATGATGCCATCTGTGCTGTCTCTCTCCTTCCCACGGTCAGGCACTCTTCCCTTGTCACTTCTTGCCTAAGAGGCTTTCATCACTCCTGATAATTAGAGGGAGGCTCTCCTTCATGTGTTGAAGCCCCCCCGCCCTCTCTGAAGAGTGCAGGGAGTGCAAGAAGCCCAGACAGGCAGAAAACCGATGTTGGGGGTGCAGTGCAGGCACGGACCCACAGCTTGCTCCCCATCTGCCTCTTCTCCAGCCCTGTCAGGAGCCAGGTGGAGACGAAGCCAAGGCTGGGCAAGGGGATCAGACCCACTGGAGGTGCCCCCTTTTGCATCCTAAAGTCCTCATACAAGAGGAGTGGCACCAGACCCAGAGCCGCGCTTTGGGGTCACTGTGCAAAGTGTCCCACTCCCCAGGCTCATCGCCAGCCTGCAACCTCCCCCATCTGAGTGACCCACAGGCAAAGACAGAGCCTCTCCACAACCTCCACGCTTGTCCCCAGCTCACTGCACAGTTGGGTTAAGACCTCCTAATGTGGCTCTCCTCCACTTTCAAACCAATCCCAAACTTGCTAAGGCTGTGCTAGGAAAACAACCAACACAGCTGCAGAAAAGCAGGTGAGCAGAGAGGGCAGCAGGATGGCAAAAGAGCGTCTCAGGGCTGGGTGCATCTCCATGATGGGTCTAGGGCCACAAGCATCGCTGCAGGACAAGCCCAGACCCAGGGGTGGCTTTGGGGACTGGCTCCTCACTGGGTGTAAGGGCAACTCTGCAGGAGGCACCTCCAGTCACCACAGCGAGGTCACAGCTCTCTCCAAGCCTGATCCAAAGTGTTGTTGCAGCCGAGGGGAAGCACAGGAAGCCAGTGGCACCGGATCCTGGCTCCTCATTCACTCTCCTTCCCATGCCACAGGACACCACGTGCCTAAAGAAGCCCAGAGCTCTTTAGCACGCTAAGTGGAGAAGGCAGAAATCAAAACCAGCATCCACGCAGCTGAGATAAGCCTGAGCCCCGAACACAAGAGGGACAGAGGGCGTGAGCATTGCACACGCGTGTGCATGCACACAGGGACACTGAGGCTATTTCCATGGAGCAGTTTGTTCCTGGAGAAAGCACATGAAGCAAAGGGCAGGGAGGAGGGATGGGGTCAAGTTGAACGGCACCAAGAGCAGAGCAGGGGAGGTCCACTGAGAAGGGGAATTATAAACACGGCGCTGATGGAAACAGCATCTGCGCACGCACAGCACAGCCCGCCGGCGAGCCCCCCGACTGCTCCTCAGACCTCCTCTTGGCAGGAGGATGCATCCTTAGCGAATACTCAGCTCCGGCATAGTCGGCATCTGGAGCAGCAGCTGTCAGGGGTGAGGGGCTGAACTGCAGTGCTTTGGGTTTTATATCCATCTCTCTGCCCCAGGGAGAGGGGGAAATCCTGAGGAGCAGCAGGAACAGACAGTCCGTGCCTCCCAAGCCTCCACACAGACCTACAGGCAGCCCTGTCCTTCCCAGCCAGTGCCCAGACCCAAAGATGGGAGAGGGTGGGGGGGACATCAGCTCTCACCTCCCTCCCTCCTTGCCCATCTCAATTCATTTCTGCCCTTCCTTTCATGCCAATCTGATGCTTTTATACCCCTGCTGGGTTTTGCCAAGTGCCTCACTCACAGGGCAAGGGTTGACCACATAAACCCACTGCAGAGTGGTCCAGTGCACCCACCATCACGCTGACTAAGAATGCAGAATCAGGCCCTGGTTTTTAAACTCACTTGAAAGACCTTCAGCAGCCTCCCCTCACTGAAACACAACACGAGGCTGTACAGTCCTCCCCATTCACACACAAACGTGACATAAACCAGGTTATCCTGAGTGGTCTCTGGGGCCATCCTGCAGGGTTTTCCACCTGCCCCAGCCCAGGAACACACAGGAATCTGTTACCGCCTTGCAGCTCAGCCGTGCTAACGCAGATACACTCACTCAACTGCTTGCAGCCATCTGTCCATGCCTTCGAAAATAAAGCATCTGTAAACATCTGGAAACAAGTAGCACTGGGCCAGCAGAGCAGCCACCACAGCGTGTGCGGGCAGCTGGGAAGGCTGCAGTGAGAAGCCCAGCAGCAAGAGCGTTGGAATCATCTCAGGGGTCCCAACATGTGCCTCAGTCACCAAAACAGCCCAGCCTTGCCCTCCTGGCACAGACCTGTAGAGTTTTTCCAGAGGAAAAACTCAGAAAGAAAACACAGAAATAGTGGGAAGAAATACATTCCGGTATTCCCTGGAATTGCTCGCTGGCTTTCTGAGAGGAATCCCCACTCACCCACCTCGTCGGCAAGCACAGGCTCTGCCAGAGACAGGCAGGGAGCCTGGTGTTATGTCTTTATCTTGAAAGGGGACTCATTTCCCCACAAAGGCTTTGAAGAGGGAGTTTAACGCTGACAAAGACGACCTCAACATCTGCCTGCACACATGCTGGACACACACTGATTCATTAGACGATCAAAGGCACCATGCAATCTTTAAATGCCCCCGCTCAATCCGTGCCCCATAGGAAACCCTCAAGGGAACACACGTTGGCCTCTACCATGGGGTTTTCCACCCCGTGCCTCACCACAGGAACCAGAGCCTGTTCCCAGGAGCTGCAGGCAAGCCTGCGCAGGCAGCCCTGCTCCCTCGCCATGGGCTGGCAGCGACCATCAACCACCGACACACTCCTTTGCAAGGGAACCATTTTTGTGCATTGACCTCCAGGCTTCCACTACTTCAATCAAGGCATCTCTCATAGCTCAGCCAGAAACATCCCCTGCCTCATGCACAAGCCTTCAGGAGCAAGATGCCCAAAATATGTCACTATCTAGAAAAGCCTGCCTGAGCCCCACAGGAGCTGGGGTGAGGTACACCAAGCTGGGACTCCCAGAACTTTGCCAGGTAACCCTGCAAGGAATGAAGCCCCAAAGAGAGTGGAGATCCCAGAGCAGGGACCCTGCACAGAGAAGCACCCCAAGAGCCAGTGACGCTAGTCTGCGATGGGGCAGTCCTGTCACACGAGGTGACACTACAAAGCCCTGCAGTAACAGACAGGACAGCAACAGGGCTCTACCTGGAAGAAACCCCCTCGGTCTGGACCACCACAAGCCAAACACACAGCTAGCACAACCTCCTCTGCACCCCTCCTTCCCTGCAGAAGAGATTAGATGTATCTTTCCCTCCTGCAAACCCCTCCTTGGACCAGGCTGGCTCCAGCAGTCTTGGAAAATGCATGGGAAGAAGAGTTTTGCAAGGCAGTGAGAATCAAGAGAGCCAGGATGCTCGCACAGCATCAGGATTAGCCCCACAGTCCCCACAAGGGCTTTAGTGGAGCATTCTTCTGATGCCTTTCCAGATGTCTGCTGAAAATAAGAAGGGTCAGACTCTCCCTGGTGTACACGGTAGAGCTGCGTTGGCTTCCCTGGAGCTACCCCAGCTGCCTTATAATCCTCCCATCTCTCCAGAATCATCTGAAAAATCTCACCTAAACAGTTTGTCCTCAGCTGAGAAATGATTCAACACACAGGCCTCTGGCTTCCAACCTAAGCAAAGCCACCCAAATATAAAAAGAAAACGTAATGCACAGTGATCAGAGATCTCCACAGGAAAAACATTAGGCTTGTGCAAAAGCATATTGTTCCTAATACAGAATTTATCAGGCTGACATATAGATTTTCCTCCTCAAAATATGAAACCTGGATCTGAAAGGCTATTAACTCCAAAGAGATCCATTAAAGATGTCTGTCTGCAAATGGTATTTAAAAGTATTGCATCATCCGAGGTATTGTCATTCTCTTTGGCTATGACTCCACTGCAGGTCACATAGTTAAAACTGCCTCCAAACCCTAAAATTCTTGATGTAAAGAAAATAATAATAATGTTCACCAGCCTAGAACATGGACTTTTCTATCAGCTCCAACCGGAGCCCATAAATATTAATGCATCCATAATTAGCCTTTTTAAATAATGCATCCAAAATTAAACATCAACGCAGTAATAAATCAGTCAGGGCTCTTTGTTGTAGGTTTGTTTGGGGGGGTTGCGGTTTTTTTTCCCCTCCTGTGTCAGACACATAAAATAAAATGCCAATTCCCTCAGCACCTCTTCCCGCTGGACCAAAACGCTGGAGCCCTGACTGAACTGAATCTGATTCCATTTGTACTTAAAAGTCTTCTTTCTTTCATTTAGAAAAATAAAAGTCACATCTGCTTTGTGATTTGCAAAATAATGACACGCAGCCAGCCTGAGCCAAAGCTGAGCTAATGTTATTGGAACCACACAACGTGAAGGGAGACAAAGCTCATCTTGGGAGTCAAGGCGAGGGAGAAAGTCGAGTTTGCAAACTGTCTCCCCCCTCACCAGCACAAGAGCGGGCAGGGCAGAAATTCCTGCGAAGGACAAGGTTTGCAGGGGCTCTCCTCTGACACATTCCCCTTGGAGCTCACTGCAGGTACTCAGCTGCGACTGCCCTCATCTCACCTGATTTACCCTGATCAAAGCAGAAAATCCGAACAGGCTTTGGAGGAGCAAGCTGCAGGAGAGCCCCGCAAGCCAGGCTAGACACTTCGCAAAAAGCCGTCCAAAAGAGATCACTCTGCACTTGCCTATCTATAATTACTGATCAGCCAGAGTGCCACCATCCATGGGAGGTTTCTGGCAGGGTAATGAGATTGCTTGCATTCTTGAGCTCCAAATTCTTTGCCCAAACACACCCCAGCATCTCCTCTGTCATTCCCAGAGCAGAGCCATCTCCCCGCTGCTCAAGCACACCATCTGCAGCTCCTCATCAGGAGTTCACTGTTAGAGGCTTTAGCCGCCCTGCTTAGCACATCAATAATCCACACCTCCTCTATTTTATCACAGGCGTATCTCAAACTGCCTAAAAACCCGTAAGCGGAGTAGATTTCACGGCAGTCTGACAAGAAAGCAAATTCACAATTACTTCCCGTTAGGAAATTCTTGGGTAAACGCCCCGGAACACGCAGCATGTTCCATTCCATGTTGCTGTAACTTTCCAGCTCGCTCTCCAGCAAGCCTGGGAAGCAGGTACGCAGGAAAACACAGGCTTCTCCTTTTGCATCGCCAAGTCACTCCTATTAACTGTTTCCAGGAATAACAAGATGCTTGGTATTTTTGGTCACATGGATTGCTACAGTCTGCAATGCAGTAAACTCGTTTTTAATTCCAAAGAGTTGCCAAACCCCTGGTTTTAAGTGATGTTCTGTCCTGGTGCTACACGTTCCCACACGCTCAAACCAACTGTGGGTGCTCTGGTCAGTGTCCCATTTTACAAGGGCAGAAGGAGGTTTCTCACTGCAAACACCACCAGATAATTGACTGCCCTTTGCTCTTGCAACATCAGTACCCACAAAGCCAAGATCTCTCTCTCCCAATCTCTCACTGGCCCAACGACCTGCTCCCAGAGCACCCTCGTGAAGCCTAAGCCACTTACGATTGATGGACGCTGCAGTTGTAGAAAACAAAATCCACAGAGGCAAACTTCTTCCCCGTCTCCTTAGACTTCAGGTAGAGCTTTACCACTCGCTTGTCCCCTGGGAGAGAACCAGACAGAAAAAAGGAATTAGAAGGCACAGAGTGTACACCCCAGCTTTCAGCTCAAGGCTTGCAGTGGGCTGGAGAGAACTGGGCATCACCCCTCATGCCCGGGTAACTAACAAAATCTCCAGAGCGTGGCAGTAAAAAGAGAGTGTTCATCCACTCCAACTCAGCCACCAACAGGCCCAAGTACAGCTCTGAGCCCCTACAGCTAACTGCAACCTGCTGGCATGGAGGCAGGCTTAGAGGAGACCAAGGAGCAGTCCCCTTATGAGCAGCAGTGTCCTTCACCTCCTAAGCTCCAAGAATCCAACTCAGGTCCTGCTCAGGGGCTGGGGATCCCTGTCACAGGAGGACTGTCCTCCTTCACATCTGCATCTGGGGCAGCAAGTGGGACAAGTTTCGTCTCCGGCTTTCTTCCCACCCTGGGGCACAAGCTCACCGCGGCCCCTGGTGATGGGGATGACGTCCTTGGCAGAGGGAGAGCTGCAGTAGATCTTCCCATCTTCAATGCGGCTCTCAGACTCAGTGAAGTCTTCGAAGGAGCAGTTGACTCCCGCCGAGAGGTCTGGGACATTCCAGGCCTGCAGGACCAGCTGGGGAGGAGAGACAAGAGTATCAACACAGAAAACTAGCAAAAAAGGCTCCTCTCTGTGTAAGTCCAGCCAACAGAAAAGACCAGGGTTGCAGTCCCTCCTCTGCCACCCACACGCAATGGTGAGACCTGCTCCAGGCTTCTGCAAGCAAGCCCCATCCATGGACCTCCCTGCTCAAGCAAGGAGTGGAGATTTAAAGGGGTTAAAAGACAGAATGACTCACAGCCTCCCATCCTCTGCCCTGGCCATACCACAAGCCATTACACCTCAACTCTCCACAGAGACCAAGCACAGCGTCAGTTCTAAAGAGTGTTTCACGGAAAGGCATCTGCTCCGGCAGAGCCAAGGAGGGGAGGAATCCACCTCTTCCCTTTGCAAATTCATTCCCAGGGTCAGCAGTTCTCACTTTACAAAATGCTTGCCTTATTTCTAATTTGAATTTTTCGCAGCTTCCAGCCATTAGTTCTTGTTATGCTTTTCCTTGATAGATTAAAAAGCCCTTTAGTCCCTGATATTTGCTCCTTGTAAAGGCACTTATACTCTGTAATCAAGTCACCTCTTAATCTTCTTTTTGATAAGCTAAGCAGATTGAGCTCTGGAAGTCTCTCACTGCAAGGCATTTTCTCCAGCCCTCAACTCATTTACATGATGTTTACGGGAGTTTTTCAGCCTCTCCCTTTCAGAACTGGACTCTAGCCCAAGCGAGCTATCTCCACACTAACCACACCAGCATCCTGCCATCGGTCAGGGAGATAACCACCCAAGAGGTGAAAACACTGCCCAGCTCCTGGCTTCACCCAAGAAGCATCGAGAGCCCCACAGTGAGGGCTCAGCCCTGGCACCACTTTCCAGGACACCAGGTAAATGCCACGTCTTCTTCCATATCTAACTTAAGGCTTGGCAATATCAAACCCCAATTTCTCTGCTAAACCAGCCCCAAGCAAACCTAACTGCTCTGAAGGAAACCTCACCCTGCACCACTCCCTCAGTCCCAGCAGGTCCCACCCACTGCCATCTCGCATTTATCTCCACATTACCAATGAACGTGAGACCCTGCAGAAGCGCTTTCCAAACCACTTCCATCCAGTGATAATCACCCTCTGACGAGGACTTTTTGAGATCTGTCACAGAGCCAGTTCTTAATCCACTTAACACATGCTTTATCAATATTGTATAATGCTAATTTTTAATCAGAACGTTGTGTTGTACCAAGTCAAACGCCTTGTAGAAACCTAAACACATCACATCCCCACAATCCCTCTTCTAATTCAAGTCATAATTTCATCAAAGAACAAAATGTGGTTTGTTTGACATAAAACCATGTTGACTGGCATTAATTATATTCCCATCCTTAAATCTTTATCAGTTGCATCCCGCATCAGTTTTTCTCCTTTAGTTTTTCTAAATCTGATGTGAAACTAAGCAGTCTCTGGCCATTTGGTCCTTTCTGCATCTTGCCCAAGAAAAAAAAACAAGTACCTTTTCTGCTTCCAAAGCTTTTCCCAGCATCCACTTATTACAAAGTCACATTATTACAAATACCCACAGGCCACAGAACTCCTTGGTCAGATCTTTCAGGAGTACCAACTGCCAGATACCCAGACGTGGGACTTTTCAAAACTTTACTGCTAGTATATGCTGTTTTGTACTCTCTTCACAGTGCTAATGGCCTGGAAAATACTTCAGGGAAGTCCATCATCCTTCCTGTCTGCACAGAGAGAGCAGCAAGTTGTGCATCAAAGTCTCATCCCAAAATATCTACCGCAGGCCAGGGTCAGAGACAGGCTATCGAGCTACATAGATCGCTGGCCTACGAATGGCATCGCTGATGTTGGTGTTTGCATTATGGAGAAACATTTATTGCTCAGTTATGCCTTTTCTGAATTATCATCAACTGGTTTATTATTTCCATCAATAGGCCAGCCCTCATCAATGCCCTGCACTTTGCTATGTTTTATTTGCATCAGTCCTCTCTTCCCCTTTCTCCCTGTAACCCATCAGTTATTTTTAATCACCTCCTCCCCAGCCGTCATCTCCAGAAGAGGTGGCTGGGGGTGGATCTGGAGGCAACAGAGGTGACTTACCGGGACCTCCGACATGGTGACCGAGATGTTCTTCGGCTGGACGGTGAGCTGCACGCACTGCCGCAGGTCGGAGGCGAAGCGCTGGGGCTCGTCCGCCCTCTCGCAGCGGTCCTTGCGCGAGCATCTGGAGGGGAATGAAAGTACCACGGTGAGGAGAAGAAGCCCCCGGGTCCTGCGCAGCTCCAAGCTGACACCATGGTAGACAGACCCTTTGGCACAGAGACGGTGCCTAGCTGGGGACCTTGGGTGCCTGAGGCTTGAGCTCTGCTCTCCCCTGGTGCCAGCACTGGGGACTTCAGGGCATATTTTATGTTCAGCTTTTCTTATTGGCACAAGGATGCCAAACCCAGGAGCCTAACGGCAGGATTAGAGAGGCCCTCCCAACCACACGTGGGTGCCATGGGAAGGGATAAGTCCCCTTGGACCACTCTATCTCTGCACAGTTCAGGAGCTGAAGCCCAGGAGACAGGTCCCCAAGGAGAACAGAGCTGGGAACAGACCTGGGTTGCAAACCCTGGTTTGCTGATGTGGCCCCAGGCCGAGCCTGCGGTACTTACATGTTGTGGAGGACGCACCAGCCGCAGTGGGGGTCCCGGGAGCCCAGGCACAGCTCACAGCTCTCATACTGCTCACAGCTCTCCACCGGCACCCGCGTCACCTGCGGAGAACAGGCAGGGAGTGAATCCATGTGTATCCATGCCTAAGCCCCACAGCTCCCACCCCATTAGAGAGGAGGCAGCAGTGGGGAACAGGTTGAGCCCCTCT